TGTGTGTGTGTGTGTGCGTGTTTCTTGTGTAAGCTGAAAGACGCGAAAAATTATTGAAATATCTATTGCTCCAAGGGTTCAGGGGATCTCGTAGTCGAGCAGTCTCGACTAGAGCTTTCTTACTTGTTCTTTTATTATTTTTTTTTTGCTTTGTATTTTTCTATCATTTCTCTATTTTACTACTTTTTTTCTTCTTTTCGCTCCTTTTCATATATTTCCTCTGTTCTTCTCTCTTCTTTTCCTGTTTGTGTCTCCTTTCTTTTCACATCTCCTCTTACAATTTTTGAGCTATTTTTATTGCTATTACTATTGATTGTCTTTGCCTGAAAAATATTTTGATATTTTCCTTTCATATGGTTTTGTATATGCTTATTAAAGTTTTTTTTTGTAATTTATTTTTCTGTTTTTTCTTCTTCTACCTCGAACAGAATTACAAAATGTAAATTACATTTAATTGCGCGCCGTCAATTGCGGTTCATATCCCAGTTGACTGTTGTGCGTCGACACCTTTGCGTATTTATTGTAAATAAAACATGTGGCCCGGGGTCAGAGGTCAGAGGGCTCCACAGTCAACTCCACATGGCGGCTCGCGCATTTCGCTTTCAACTATCCGATTGCATTTATAGTTTAGTGAATTACAAATATTTTGCTTTGCCAGCCATTTTAATGTACTTTATTTATGATGACACGTGGCGGCAACAATAAAAAATAATAAAAACCAACAACAACAAAAATACAAACCACAATTAACTTTAACTGAAACTGAATGTGTGGTGCGTACAGATGTTGATGTGTGAAATACCCTGGAAATTATTGAGTGAATGCCATCAGGCTGGCAATTGAATGCTTAGGCGAGAACTAAGCTAGTGATAGAGAGAGAGAGAGAGTGAGATAGGGAGAGGGAGAGGGGGAGAGAGAGCTCTATAGAGCCAATATAAATTCCATTTTGAAAGTCAGGTACAAATTTATCTAATGGAGTCCATTAGAAATCAATGCACAAGTCATAAATACACACACACACACACATCGAACGTCGAATGCCGAAGCTCAACATTTCTCCATGTGGAGCAAGCGGAGGGTCCGTCTATATGTAGACAGATGGAATTAAAGGTTAGCTGGCGGGCTTAGCGTTGACAAAGCCTTGCCTCGTCTAATAATCCAGTGCCAGCAGTTGTTGTTGTTGATGTGGTGGTTTCACTGTACTGTAGAGCCCACACACACCCACTCACACATACAAACAGCGAGGACTGCAACGACACAGAGATTACAAATTTTGCACTTATGCCACGACAGACCGAAAAATCTGGACAGCAAGCGAAGGTTTTTTTTTGGTTCCTATAAAGATATATGTATATGTACATGATATATGTATATACATACATACATACACGAGCATGACACGGCTTAGACAGCTTTTGCGGTCGTCAGGTCAGTTAATGACGTGGCCGTTGACATGGACGTCTGCTTTGAAGGTTTTTCTCTTAATCTGCGGAGCTGCTGGTAGAGCAGGACCCAAAAAAAAAAGAGAGATGAAAATATAAGCGACAGTTATTCTTTGACTTCTCACAGTTATGTGGGCGTGTGTGTGTGCGTGTGTGTGAGTAAAGCTTCTGTTCGAAATCACAAGTGTTGAGCAAACTTATTGACAAACTGTGCAGTTGCTATACCCTATAATCGATAGAGAGGGAGTGATAAGCTGAGGGCGCTGCAGTTGAGCGAGAGAGAGAGAGAGAAAATGGAGCGGAGTTAACAGAAATACATTGAATGGCATATGTTTAGCTGAGAGACTTTGTGACTTCTGTATTATTTCTGAGATTGGTATGGATTGCTTCTCTTTCTTCTTCTCTCATCTTTCTTCTTCTCTCATCTGTCTTTTCTCATCTTTTCTTTCCTTTCTGGTGTTTCGTGGTCTCTCTTTACTTAGTTTTTGCTTACTCTATTCTTTCGCCTGCTTCTTCTATTTTCATCTTCCCTTTTCGTTTCGTTGCATTTCGTTTCGTTTCGTTACATTTTGCCTGTTTTTTTTTCTCTCCCTCTATACTTACTTTGATTTCTTATATCTATCTACACCTATATTCTCTATCGTACCTTCTCCTCTAAAACATGGAATCTTCTCTCTTTATTTCATTCCATTTCACTTCTTTCTTTATATTATATTTCCAGCTCATATAATTTCCTTTCTATTCTTTCTATTCAATTTGCTTTTCCTTTATATTATATTTCCTGCTCATATAATTTCCTCACTTTTCATTTATCTCTATTCCATTTTCTTTTCTTTTTTCTTCACATTTATTTTCTCATTTTTTTCTCACTTTTTCCAATCATCTTCCTTCACTTTAATTTTCCCCTCTTCTTCTCAAACCCTTTAAATAGTACAGTATCCATCTTTTACAATAGCTTATTCCCATTTACAGGGTATATATAGCTGTCGAGCAGCAGCATGACACTTGGCGCAAATATTGCAAATAGCAAAATGTATTTAAGTCTCAGCGAAAAAGATGTGGCATGTAGTATGTGGCAGATATCTGTGGCAAGCAGGAAACTTTGAAAGTTTTGGACAGCGGCGATGGCGCCGAATTGTTTGACAGCCTGTGCGCTTATCTCAACAGATGCGATGGCCCGTTCGCAGTCGGGGTCCATAGTCAATTGTTTAAAGAGTGTCAAAGTCAAGCGGTTTTTCGCTTATATTGAGGAGGGGGCGGCAACCCAAGAGCCGAGAGACGAGAGACGAGAGCCGAGAACAGTGAGTAGAGAGTTCACGCTTATCGCCACTGGCAAACGCAACGTTGGCACAAAACTTTTCACTGGTGTCGCATCCACTTTTCACCTCCTCTCCTTTTCTCTCTCTCTCTCTCTCGCTCTCTCTCAGCTGTCCATTTGTCATTGGTTTTTGGAATTTTCATCATTGACTATGCCGTTGCCAGTCTCAAATTAACACAAGCCCATGCGAGTCTTGTAATTTCCACTCAGTGCAACTCTGTGGCCCAGGCTCTTGCTTTCTCTCTCTCCCTCTTCCCCTTCCCCTACGCACACTTCATAGCTAAAGCCCAGTCGAAAGCCAATAAACATTAGAAATGGCATTCTGCACAAAACTCATATGAGAATGATATATGAGTGTGTATCTCTCTCTCTCTGTCTCTCACTCTCTCTGTGTGTGTGTGTGTGTGTGGCATTGCCAATGTCCACTGGAGTACAATGACCTAGCCGAACCGCCGACCAGCTGCCAACCGCAGACTTTTGGCATAGTTTATCGGGCAACAGCGAAATCTTCTTAGCTAGTATCTCCGTGCGGATGACTTCCTCTCGTGGCTATGGTCGGGAGTTTGGGTTTTTCGGGTTCATATTTTGGTTTCAGGCGGATGAATTTCTTTTCCGTCATGCGGCATTTGGACACAAAAGCGCAAATGCACATTAAAAATGCATATCCAAGGGCCGAGCACAACAAACAAACAAACAGCAGTCGAGCAGGCGAGCAGGAGGCAGTCAGGCAAGCAGGAGTCGAGCAGGAGGCAGTCAGGCAGGCAGTCCACAAGTCAAGTTTCGCTAGCGAAAACATTGAAATATGCAGAGTTATCTTCAGGCTAAAAGCTGTCCACTCTGCCCCACTCTCTCCTTCTCCGCCTCAGCCTGCCGACCGCTGTCATCCTGGCCGACGCACCAGTTTCCCTGACAACTCCTTTATGGCCAAAAAAAAAAAGAAAGAAATAGAAGAAAAAATGCTTTTGGGCATTGTCAGTTATCGGCTTATGGAAGGCAGGCGAAGGCGGCGGGGTAGCCGAACATTGTCATAAAAATGTTGTTGGGGTAGACAGTTTTTATTTTTTACTTTACTTGAAAGCAGCAGCAGCAGCAGCAGGAGTAGCAGGAGCAGCAGGAGTAGCAGCAGCTTTCTGGCTCGCTTAACAGTTCTTGTAACAAGCGGCTGTTAAGACTTGAAATATGAATTTCTTTTGTGCAGGGTATTCGGTGGGTGGGCGGCGCTGGCATCCATATGCAAGCGCGTCATTTGTTCAAACATAACTGTGCACTGGAAATAAGAGAGAAATTGCCAGTACTACTCGGTAAGAGCCCAGCCTTAGCTTCAGCCCAGTCAAGCCCGACTCTAGCCAAGCACAGGCAACCCGTTTCCGTATCCGTATAATAAAGCAAGCTGAATTTCTAAGAAAAATATCTTATTTATGTCCTGCGGCTGTAGTTCATGCTCCGCTAGAGAGTGCCGCGCGCTCATAATGTCAAAAAATCTTGGCCTACATTTCACACAGACCGAATTCGAGGATGCAAACAAAGGATACAGCGCCAGATCCTGCTGAACGAGAGCTGGCGGCGCTTTTTCTTTCGTCTCTTCTTTTTTTTTTTTTTGGTCATTTCAAGGAGCTTATACTTTCCTTAATCAACTTTATGAATTGGAGAATAATCATAATTATATTAGCACAAAAGCGGGTATCAAATATCAATTTGTGAGAATTTCTCGAGTTTGAATTCCTTTTAATTAATCAATTGACTAACCAGTCGGAATATTCCTGGAATTACGCGTAGGTATATTTTGTACATAGGCCTCAATTAATTATCAATCGGCCATGCAGCTTTCTAATATTGAGAGTTTAGATGAACGTTTGGTTCATCAATTAGTCTATAAATTGATCAAAATTTAAAATTCCTAGGAATTGACTATTCCCTTTCCCTTTTTCCATTTCATTAGCTTTAATAAATTGTCAAGGCATCAGATAATCAAACAATCGATCAATTAAACAGTCAATAAGTTTTCAGTTTGGGTGTTGAATAAACCTCAATAGATTTTAGCATCTTGATGAATCAATCAGACAATCAGTCAATCCGTAATTTACGAGTATAAGGATCATAAACTTCAAATAATTTTCAATGATAGTCTTTAGCATTGAATGTTTTGATGATGCTTTACTCATCAATCAGTCAATCAAAATTTTCTATAAGTTCCACTCTACTTTGTAGAGAAACCTTTGATCCCTCTGAAGTTCCTTCAACTATTCATTCATTATTCATTAGCTTTAATTATCACTTCTATTTTCAGCTAATTAAGAATCTTATTGTGATGATCAATCAGTCAAACAGTTAATTAGCTAGTTAGCAATTTCACACACACACACACACACACACACACACAGTTAGGCAAACACTTTGCCAAGTTTGCAAAAGAAGTCGTCTTCTATGCCTTGGCTCTTTGTATTCATATGCTGATAAACAAGGCGACCTATTAGACCGTCAAAAGTCAAAAGCTGGCGGGCAAAAAGTCAACTCATAAGTCAAATGTTTGCCAAAAGTATATGAGCATGCATTACAACTGTGTGTGTGAGAGAGAGAGAGAGAGAGGGAGAGAGAGGGAAAAAGACTCAGCATAGTTGTACAAACTGTTGCGAAGGACATCTGGCAGTTGGAATGCCGCGTCTTAGGGGAGCTCACGTACAAATGCGTATGCATAATTTGGCTACGTTGCACTGGGACTCGAGTCTGATTGAGAAGATGCTCCTAATGCTGCTCCTGCTGCTGCTTTGGAGCGCTCTGCGTGTTAAACCACTAAATTTGGCTCAATGAAAAATAATTTGGTTAGCATGCCTGGCCAAACGTTCGGCTCATGCTTTGGCCAACTCGAAAATTTTGCGGCGCTTTTGGCAAAATTGTGCGCCTCCCTCAGCTCAACACTTTCTGCACGTTCCGGCTGGGTTTGTCTTTGAGACCTGACTTGCCAAGAAATGTCTGCATTTCTCTCGATGCTCCATAGTCGATTGGGTCGATAGGTCGTTAGGTCTGTCCGTCCGCTAGTTTGTCCGACTCTCTATTTGTCTGCGGGTCTGTCGGGAGTCATATTTATATTTCGTTCGCTTGGCCTGTTGAAATATAATTCCATATTAATAAACAATCTGCAGCTTTAGCTGCAAATTGAGCGGCAGGCAGCCAAGGCGACGCAGGACTTCCAACACGTGCTCCATGCTCTCTCTCTCTCTCTCTCTATCCGCTCTCGGACTGTCCTGCTTGCTCCTGCTTGCCTGTGCATGGACTAGAGCAATCTGATTTCCGAAAGATTGTGCGTTCAGCTAAGAAAACGATGCACATTTGTCTTCGCCAACGGCCAAATGGGATGCGATGGGATGGGCTGTGGATAGGTGGAGAGAGGGGGCCAACTGGGGGTAATGGGGGCAACCGGACGAGGTGGCTGCCAACGTCGTTGTTCAATAAACAGTTGCACTTGGCATGGACCTCGGGGTCGTGCGCTCTCTGCTGGCTGCTAGCTGCTGGCTGCTGTCCGCTGCCAGGATGCATCATTATTTTCTGTCATCATTATATTCTTGTTGACTGCTCAGAGCGGTTTGTTTTTCGCTTTCCTTATTTTCTTTTTGTTGCCCTTTGACTTGACTTGGCTTGGCTGGCTCGCTGGCTTCCTCTGGCCACGCTCGAGCTTTGGTTTTCTCGCGGAAATTACAAGAAGCGCATATACGATATCCCGACCCATTTATACGCTAGCCACCTTTGACTATCTAACTATCTATCTCTATCTACTTCAGCCTGTCTGCCTCTCACTCTCCCCATTTCTCTCTCTCTCTCTCTCTGTATATATCATCTATGTAGATGCAGGAAATTGTTTAGTGAGCATCATAAAGTGAACAGGCCACGTTCATGTTCCACTGGGAGCAGCGGATGTTGCACAACGCGTTTGCTTCCTATGGTGTCACGGAAGTGGCTGTTGGATGCCGCCACACTTCAACTTCAAGCTCGAAGGATAAGCAGCCATATCTCTGGCATTTCATGAATTCAAAGAGTTGAATTTACATTGGCAACGCTCTCAGACAACAACAAATAAATGCAAGTAAATAAAAATATACAAGTATAACAGAACAAAATCCAAATAAATATAAATCGAAACTCAAACATGCTGAAACATGTCAACGAACCTTTTTTGCGCCGCTGATGCACAAAGAACCAGGCAACCAGCGCCGCATTGACCAGCAGAAATCCGAATGCGGCCAGAGAGATGGCAATGATGAGCAGGTTCGGCGTATTGCTGGAGTCCTCCGTTAACTCGGCTGGCATCATTTCAATTCCTGGTCCATGAAAATGTCGCGACAGCAAGTCAAAATAAACCAAAGCCAGCCAAACGAGACCATGAAAACATAAACACAGAAAAAAAAAACAAAAATAATAATAAATAATAATAACAGAAAATATGCTTGCAAAAATAAAACAATAAATAAATTCGAAATGAACAAAAATTGAAATGAGAAATTGTAATAAAAATGACGCAGCAGCGCTTCGGAGGCAAATGGGACGGTACGGGGTGGTGCGAGTGGGGAGTGGGTCGGTTGTGTGGTTGCGCTCTGCTTCCAGGCCAGAGCCGCCTGTTACTCTGGGTACGGTTAAGGAACCCATGCAAAAGTGACGCAAATCACGTAGCCATGGAGTCACAATGGCGCGCACGCGGAAACGCAGCTCCAGCATGTGACGGGGCCAAATGAAATTAGCGCCGTCCGACGCTGACCGCAACGGCACGTAGAAACGCCAACCGTAGAGCAGCACGGGCACCGGCACGGGCAACGGCACAGCGAAACTGTATTCAGTTCAAAAATGGAAATTAAATTATAGCCATCTGCGAGTTACTGCCACAACTATCGAGTACTCTGCTCAATTCAATTTCGATTTCCGTTTTTGCATGGCCGAAAGGGATTTTCAGGTATCTATCGTTCAATCTAGAAAGGCTTCTACTTGATTGGGCTCATTTAATTGGCCAAGCGATCAATCAGCTTAAAGATTCAAGATTAACTACATTTCCAGCAGCTCTAAATCTATATTTCAGGTATATATTGAGCTCGAATGTGAAATTTTGCGTTGATTGTCAATCAGTCAATCAAACAGCTAGCTGAGAAATTTCGTAAATACTACAGGATCTTTGTAGTTAAGGAAAAACAAATTCTTTACTTTCTTTAATTCTTTAAGCTCATGGCGTTGATTGTCAATCAACCACAAAATCAATAAGGCTGCGCAGTGTTCAAGAAGTCACTCTGCTCAATCAATCAGACAATCAATCAGTTTACAAAATATTTTCAGAATTTGAGTGAATTGCTTTCAAAATCCTGCAAACTGTGTAATATGCAATTATCTAGCTCATACTATACAATTTATATAATGTATATCAATCAGTCAGTCACTTAATCAATCATTCAGTCAGTTTTTAAGGCATCTAGAATTTTCTATTATTTTCGTTATGTTGCCATCAACGTCAAAGCACTCAATTGATTAGCTCTAACTAATAAGCTAATGCGCACATTGTCAGTACATCGATCAATCAATCAATCAATTAGTCAGTTGCATTAAACAGAAAACATATTCACTCTAAACCAATTAAATTACTTGGCTCATCATACGATTAAAACTTCAGAGCAGCTGCTTGTCAATCACTCAGTCTGTCAATCATAAAATCAATTTCATATATGAAAGCAACAACAACAATAAAAGCCTAGTCTCGATGATGATGTTGCTGATGTACCTCGCTTCAGGCGCTTCTCGTTGCGCTTGTGAAGACAACAGCCGATGACAAATACGTTGAGCAGCACCACCGTAATGCCCGCTGCGACGCCAACGAGCAGCATGCCCGATGTGCCACCCAGCGGTGTCTGACTGGTGGTTGGCGGTCCGCCGCCCAGCGACGAAGCCGGCTGTGAGGGTGGCGGCGCTTCTGCTGGTGGTGTCGGTGGTGTCAGTGGAGTTAGTGGTGTCAGTGGCGGGTGGTGGTGGTGCGCATATCCAATGTATATTCATGTTTTAGGTTGCGTTTGCGACGTTGTCGTTGTCACCATAATACGATTCCAATTAGACGCAGCGTTGCAGGAAAGAGAGATCATTGATTGAGTGAAGAAAACACACCGAGAGGTGGCGCGCGGGGGTGGTGTGAATTAATAGAGGAAATAGACCTAGTCGCTCGCTGTGTTCACTTCATTGTCAGGCAAACGAGCGCCGGCCATAAATGCCAAAGGGCGGTGCACGCATAAATCAATCAATCAGTGGACGAACGCGAGGAGCCACGACTGGAGTGGAGGGCTTACCTTTGGTCTGGGCACGCGTCAAATCCGGCAGGTAGGAGCTCTGGCCCAAATCGTTCCATGCCATCACCGAGAACAGATACAGCGTATTCATGCGCAGTCCGCCGATGGTCAGTTTGTGGCTGTTGGGCAGTCCGTCGACATATTTATACTGCTCGCGGTCTGCCATGCTGCAAGCGGGAGAAAGAGACGGAGAGAGAGAGGGATATAGTGTGTGTGAGAAAGAGAATGTTGGAGAGGTTCCATAGCCAACGCATGAGGGACAATTTCATTAGTGCACGTGACATTCGCAGTAATTGCAATGGAATGCACTTCAAGCACACGACATGCAGGAGTGGGAGGAGTGGGAGGAGCGGGAGGAGTGGCAGGAGCTGGGCCCTGCTTGTACATACCGATAGCGCACACGGTAGGAGGCCTTCAGGCCACCATCGAAGCCTGGCGTCCAGGCCACGGTGACCGTGTCGTGGGTCACATTCAGTATATTAAGGCTGAGCGGCGGCTCTGGCGGGGAGGTAATGTCCAGACGCACCGTCTCGACATCCTCGCCCAGCTCATTGCGCGCCACACACTCGTAGGCGCCGTAGTCGGCGGGCGCCACCTTCTCGACAATCAGCGAGGACTCGTAGGTGAGCGAGTCTATTTTGCGCTCCTCCAGCTCATACTTGAACGTATGATTGATGGGCAGATCCTTGCCGTCCTGGCGCCAAATAAACTGCGGCTTGGGCGACGCCTGCGCCCGGCAGGGCAAGCGCCCCCGTTCGCCCGTACCGCTCGCGGCACGCAGCAGCGTCGGCGACTTGGCGATCTCGGGAGCAACTGCAACGAGGGAGCTCAGCATTGCAAAAGATACAGAAATATATTTAGCCTCGTTTCCACTCACATTTGACTATCAGCAGCACGTCCCGATTGGTCGGATTGGCCACATGATTGTCGGCCACGCAGCGAAAGTTGCCCACATCCTCGCGCTGGGCGTTCTTGATGTGCAGGTAGGCGGTGCCATTGGTGAACGTAGTCGTGGTCTTGGCCTTCATGTCGTAGCCCACGCGCTCCCACTTCACGTGCTCCTCGGCGAGCGGCTTGCCCTCAACGCTGCAGGACAGCATGGCATCCTCGCCGGGATTCACAATAATGTTCTCCGAGACGGACTTGATGGTGGTGCCGTCTGTAGTTAGAGTAAAGAGAGGGGGAGAGGAAGGTAGAGCAGCTTAAGAATTTTCTAGTCCAGTCAGCTGGATTAGGTCACTTACATTCCACAACGACTGTGATATTGATGCTCGCCTTGCCCTGCGAATTGCTCGCCGTGCAGGTGTAGATGTCCGAGTCCTCCCGGTGCAGCTTTGTGAAGTTGAGCACAGCGCCATCGGCAAAGATGCGATGCTCGCCGGCCGAGACGCTGCCGCTGGTGTCCTGCGGTATGGGCGTGCCGTTCTTAGTCCAGGTGTAGCTAATTAGCGCTGGATTCGCGTTCGCCTGCAGCGGCACCTGCAACGACTCGCCCTCCAGGCCCACCGATGTGGACGACGGCGGCGGCACAAACTTGGGAGGATCTATGTGTGCATGTGCATCCATTTGAATTACAATTTGGATTTCATTTACATTTACATTTGCATTTCCATTTCCATTTCCATGTCCATGTCCATTGAGTTGGCGCAGATATTTAATTGAGAATTACAGTTAGCACAATTTTGTTGGGCTTTGGCATTCAGACAGAGTCTAATTGCTCAATTAGTAGATCGAGATGAGCTAGACTCGTACTTACATAGGACATTCAGGCTGATTGCCTCGTGCACGCTGCGCTGCAGTGCCTCGTTGGCGCTTTGGCAAGTGTAGACCACACCGTTCATTTCCTGGGTGATGTTTAGCCTGAACTCGAGCGTTGAGACTGTGCCGCCCCAGAGACCTGGCTTGGACGTGTTATTAATGCCTGCAAAGCAAAGCCAGCAGCAGGAGCAGCAGCAGCAGGAGCCAATGAAAGAGACAAAATGGGCGTGATTTTATTTTAGTGACTGAGCTGACTGGACGCAGAGCTGGACGGGGCTGGGCTTGGCTGGCTGGCAACCAGACCGGATGTTGTCGTGGAAACGCCTTTAAAAAATGCATCAGCATCAGCTTGGGTAGCCAGGCGCTTGCCCATTTTGACAACGGCGCCGCCAAGTCCATGCCATGCCCTGCCCTTGCGTTTGCCCTGGCGGCTGGGCAAACTTCCAAAATGTGCGCTGCTTATGGTACGTACCTTCAATGGATATGCCATCCTTCCACCAGGACAGCTTTGCCGGCGGATTGCTTGAGCTGGAGTCACAAATGATGGTCGCCTCCATGCCAGGTTTCAGCTCTTCCGGTTCAATGCGTATTTTTACCGTCTCTGGCGCAACTGTAAGCACAGCCAGCGGATAATAATGGCGTGAGCGCTGTGTCTTGGGGCAAGCAACAACAACAACAACAAGAGTAACAACAACAACTACTTACAGTGCACACTCAGTGTGGTGGACTCGAAGAGCGGTATCTCGGTGGCACTGTTCGAGGCCTCGCAACGGTATTGCGCCTGGTTGTCGGTGACGTTGGCCAAAATAGTTATTTCGGCCGAAACTGATTTGTCGGCCGCCCGAATTATAGAGTTGATCTGCAAACGCAAATGGCAGAAGGCATAAAATATAGCCAAATTAGATATGTGTAGACTTGTTTATATGCATATGAATCAGAGTGAATATATAAGATCATATATCTATAAGAATGAATATATCTGAGCTATGAATACACGTATATATACTTTTTAGAAAAACATAATTTTTATATATTTTTTTAGAAACATTGATTGATTTTTATAAA